GCGAGTCCGATCAGATCGACATTCTCAGAGAACCACTCTACCAAGGTTGTTCGGGACTCTAACCCGCCTTGGACTTATGCCAATGGCTCTCCGCACATCCTTACTACCTCAGAATGCCGCCACTGCTCGCGTCCCCGGCCTAAGTCGAGCTACTAGGCTTTGCGGTCGGAACGACTTATCCGGCCAGCTAAGTGTTAGGCTGCGTTCAATATGACATGAGGACGTACAGCGTATCGGTCCTTAAATGACTCAGACGGAGTCACTATGTTCAAACCTACACAAGACTCCGCCCGGTCTTAATTCATTAATCACATGGTTCTTTTCCACGATAGCAAATATAGCCAACCGTGATCCATCTCATCCTAAAGCTCGCAGGTGACAGGAAATCACCTGACTTCTACCGCACTAAGCATGGCTAAGCATTTAACCCGTGCCTGAACTTAAATAGGATTCCAGTGCGATATCTGGACAAGGAAGGATGTATAATGCAGCAATTGGTTTCAACCAATTCCTAAACTTAATGCATCATCAACAATAAAAGGTACGCAAAGTATTTGTAAAAACATGGGAGGCTTAATATGCTCCGGGGCTTGCCTTTCAGGAACGAGGAAGGATGGTGGTCAGGGCACTCAGGCAATTCCTCCGCGGCGACTGCTTCGTCGGCTTCCTGCACCTCGGGTTCCTCCTCCTGGTTGGCTTCCTCGAACTCCAGCAACGTCACTCCCTCCGGCACACCTATTGCATGAATGCATAAGATAAATATCATGGATGCACATGAACGAATGTCAGGGATGCTCGGGGAATGCACATGTTCACTGTAGTTTGCATATTCCAACTTAAGCCCTATTCAAATCACTTTACTTACCAAGTTTATACAACCTAATGTATAATTGCTCATCTTCAGTTAATGACCTAGCACCTGCACCTAAGCATATTCTCAAGTTAGGCTAACCCCTAAACAATCAACGATTATATTACAACAACATACACTCAAGCATTTGTATTTCAGCAAAATGAAGACTATGTAGCGGTACAGTAAACTAGCCATAACTGGAGATTTATAATTCCAATTGACATGAAACAAGACAATTTGGAAAGCTTATGAAATTGTTTACAATTCATTTTTAGACCTCAAAGCATGATTCGACACTTTACCAAGTCGAATTCATAAATCAACAGAACCCAGCCCTCACAAGGCAGAGAGTAAGCAAAACTGGAACCTAACTTTAAACAATTGTAGTTTCTAAACTACTGGGCCAAATGCCCTCAAATTTTGACAGGAGCTAGATACATAAATTATCTACAACTTTTGTATTCATCACAATCACAGAAAACCAAATTATCATGGGGAACTTTCCAAAGTTCCCAGATCTGTCCAGAGGGACATGATGCAAACAAATAATTGTTAACTTATGATATAAACGCTTAATTGGACAAAACCAACTTTACTGACATATCACACATATCACAAGAACACCAGAAAGTAGGGTGTCCATCACCAAAACATTTCTTTTAATACCTTTCTTAATTTATTTAATTAATTATGGGAAATAGTAAACATATTTGAAAACTACCCCCATTAATTCTACAAAAATTACAGTAGACACTACATGCTCTAAGTAGACTACCATAAAAATTTCACACCATTTGAGTAAGTATAACAACCTACACAAAAATAGTAAGGCAGAATGGCTTAAAATGGCATAATTAGGAAACCTTAGTGAAAAGTGTCAAGCAACAGATTTCATATTTTTCCTTGCATCCTTAAGGTACTAGGACATTCTCCAACAAATTTCATGGTCATTGGAATCATAGATAATTTACAAAAATTCACCCAAGTATCTACCGGTGATAAAAGGAAAATATATAACTCAAAAACTACATATGCAATGACTCTCAAATTTTAACCAGAGCTTCTACTACACAAGACTAGCTTACCCACAAAATTTCATAATTTTTGGATCACAGAAACTCAAGATATGATTTAAACAAATTTGCATGCATTCAAAAACACTTTTCAAGTTCCTATTTAATTCATCCAAAATTTCTACATAATGTGCTCAAGACATATTTTTCTTAAATACTAGATCTAACTGTGAATCTAACAAAATTGGAACCACCCAATTTGGATCTACAAAACATGAGATACAAAAATATCAAATCAGCATTCAAAACTGCATTTTTGAACTATCTTTCTAATACTCGATCGGCGACAAACTGGGGTCCACCGGTCAAATGGGCCCATGTGTCATAGACACAGTAAACAGAGGGAGGCGGCTTGACGGGCGTGGCGGCGGAGGAACTTCGTCGGCGGCGACTCCTCCGGCGACACACGAGGACACCTACGTGACCTACGTGACCTACGTGATGCGGTGAGTCTATTGGTGCTAGTGGCGTGACCTACGACCTAGCGGAGGTGGCTCGCCGCCGGTGATGGCGGCACGGCAGAGCTCCGGTGCGAGCTGCCGACGACGACAACCCATGGCCGGCTCAACCGGGCATGGTGTGAGCTACCTAAGGTCGCCACGGTGCTAACACGGCAAAGAAACAGGGACGAGACGATTCCTAGCTACCCCGGCCACGGCGGCCTCAGCTCCGGCGAGGACGCGCTCATGGCGGTGACGGTGGAAGTGGCCAAAGGCCCTCACCTAAGCTCGATTGACGCTGCAAGTAGGCGGAGACGACGGAGCTAAGCAAGGCAGAGCTTTTGGGCGTGCTGGCTCAGACAATGGCGGGGCTGCGATGGCGCACGAGCTCGGCTAAGCAATGGCGACGGCGTCGGCTTTGCGTTCTCAGCGCCTCAGACGCGCGCGAGAGTGAGAGAGCGACTGAGAGCGAGCGAGAGGGCAGACGGACGCGGTCTCTTTGCTGTCGACCGCGGCCAGCGATGCCAGGCCGGTCACGGCGCGTGGCGGCGGCCACCAGTGGCGGCGGCGGCTGGGTGGCCGTCGACCATTGTGCCGGTTCGACTTTTTCGATTCAAATTAAGCCAACCGAGCTTTGACAAATAAGAAGTTGACGGCGATCATACTCCCAATCCGTGATGATCCAGGTTAAGGTGTAGTTGACAAAGTTGTAGTACCAAGTGAGATCTTCAACTTTATCAATTGGAGCTCGAGCTGATTCGGCTTGGTTTGGTAGCTACAGGGCTGACAAGTCGAGTACATGAAACTGTTTTTCAGAGTTAGCACTTAGAAAAATTTTGTCTCTGGAATCAGGGGTAACTTTCGTGTTGTAATCCAATTTTGAGCATGTTCTGCACATTTTCATGAGATGGCCATAAAAGAACTTTTGTTCCACATATAATTCTCTACAACTTTGCTTTAGGTTGCTCAGACATGCAAACATCCTAAGCTACACTTTTTAAACAGTCAAACACAGGAGCTCTAGGGGTCTAATTTGGTCAACCATGACTCGGAAACCTAATTAGGCAAAATGATCAACATGAACATTGTTCCTAATGATATTCTAAGTATGACTACGGTTCTTAGAAGGATATTTAGCCACACCATACATTGGTCACACAAGAATCAAGCAAGGTATGTACTGAAACAATGAAAAACACATGAAATGTTACAATTGTTTCATAGTCATGTTTCACATGTTTCATGATCTTGTTGCATAGTACTAACTAACCATGTTTCACTAAAGTGTGTTGTATATGTTTGCACTTGAGTGTTGCACCCTATTCATTTCATAAACAAACATACATGATATGTGACCATATGCTACATTGTTTCAAGAGCATGTTTCATGCAATATGAACTCATAAATGGATGAATGATGCTCATGTTTATGAAATGCAAGTGCAATTGTGGAAGCCAAACACCTGGGGTGTTACAGCGCAGAGAAGCGCCATCGCAGCACCAAACCCTAGCACCCACCCTTCTTCACACGCGCCTGCCTTGTTCACACAACACGGATGGGGAAAGGGAGGGGAAAGAAACGAATTGGTATCTCATAACCGATGGCAGTATGGGGAATTTCGTTGAAAGTCACAGTTCCACAGCCGGTGGAACGAAGCACCTCTTCACCTGTTGTGAGAATTGAACTATCATCAAAGCAGATTGTTCCAAGAAGCAGGTAGGAGGGGTACCCCTTTTGTTTAGCTTTTGGCTTTTTGGAAGCAAAAACACTTCCAGTAAGCCCAACAAAAAGGACCCTTGGCCAAAAGCTCAAACAAATAAGCCCTTTCCTAGGATATCTTCAAATTAACCATTGATTTACCATGGAAAGATTAGTAAGAAAATAAAAAAAATGGGCGTACCCATATTTAGTTAGAGACTTAAACTTGCAGAGGCAGATTCCACCGTAAAAAACCTTTCTAGGTGAGATATATAGAGTTCATGTGTTTTCTAGTGTCTTTATACTTGTTTTCTTGGACATTTTCTTCTTAATATAATGATGTACCTATGTTGGCAAAAAAAAAAGAGGAAAACAAGAAGGGAATGCATCCCCACTCTTACAAACAATAAGGCCCTGTTTGACATTACTATAGCTCTAACAAATCCATACGTTTCTTGAAACTAGGTATTGTTGTAGGTAAGAGAGATCATATATTCAAAGCTAGAGATGGAGATACATTCAAAGCATTTAGATGATTTTTTTTATAGTTTAGACTACATGTAAATATTTAAACCACTTCAATTTAATCTACTAACTATGGATTTGTTAGAGCTGTACTAAACGTGGCCTAATAAGGCTAAAATATCTAACATATACATTGATCGCGTCAGAACCTAGGAAAACTTAAGCTAATCAGAGGCAGAATATATAATGTTGCATATTCAATAACAGAATATTAACATGTACATTGAAGTATAATTTATCAACAGTTTGTCCATATCTTTTAATCTTCAAGGTAATTTAACCAATACATTATGAAATTGATATTGTACAGGCCTATTAATTTTGCAATCTTAGTTTAATTGTTCATCGTCACTTTTGATAATTGTAGACTTGGTATCCGTAATGACCATGCTTGAAGCATCTCCAAAGATCTAGAGTTCCCTCAGCCTGTCTGTTATATCGGTTAATGTATCAGAGACCTGCAAATTCAAGTACCAATGAGAAGGAAGTCATGGACCCACAAGGGAAGAACACTTAACTGTGGTTTTCCTAATGAAACCACACAACTGTTTTCTTCTTGGTTTAACATTTATGAATAATTAGTTATCAAACAGATCCAACTCCCAATTGCACTTTATATTAGAATGGGAAAACATTTTTTTTGGTCCTCTTGGTATCGGTACCAAAACTTAGTCCCTCCCTAGGTATACTTTTAATTCCTGCAGTGAGTATATATGAAATCAAGTAGAAAATGGCAGTCATCACAAGGGAAAAAGCTAGTAGTAGCCATCAACTCATGATACTAGTGTCCTGCACCAGGTTATGCTTGTCATATTGGACAAAGGAAGTTTAAGGGCGTGTTTGGTGCGGCTCCCGCACAATTCCGGCTATGGCTCCAGCAGTAGAGCCGCACCAAACGCTACAGGCCGGAGGAGCCCTTCTGCCGTGAAATGAGAGAGCAGAAGCCGTTTTGGCGTACGGCAGGTGAAGCCTTGATTTGAGGCTCTGGCAGGAGAGCATGCGGAGCAAAGCCGCGCCGAACACACCCTAAGATATTTGGATCAGTTGACTATTCGATGCACTGTTTGCCATAAATAATGTGAAACATACAACATTCCACACATCACCTATTGTAAACGTTTTTTTTTCTTCTTTTCTTTTTTTTTTGGGAGGGGGGGGGGGGGGGGGGGGAAAATGCTGATAATCAGTGTAATATTATATGTACACTAGTTAGGATTTAGGAGTATTCCTTTGGTAACAAAAAAATGATGCATTAGTCATGAACTACAACACCGGCATCATAAGCAGATCTGCCCCTTAGTCATGAACTACAACACCGGCATCATAAGCAACTGTAGGCAACTTATTACAAACGTCTCAGTTCATTTTAAATAACTGAAGTAGCAGACAATTACCTGCAAGAGGCAACTAGGAACAGCAATACAGCTCAGAAAAAGGATGTCGACCTTTTCCATAAGCTTGTGAGAAATAGGTGTTATCAAATAAATACAGTCTTCCGAAATATCTATGGCTTTGATGAAACCTGAAAACTAACTCAGCATAAGAATAGTAACAGGAAACGAATCTCGAAAACAAATTTAATTAGTTAAAAGGCTACCAAAATATAAACCGTTCAACCAAATTATAATTAAACTTGCCATACCAAGTCCAATGCAACAAGGAGTGGAACATTCAGTTGACAGAGGAGGGTCATTTGTTGACACACCAACAATTGTGCCATTCAAGAAGCGCTGCACATCAGTACCAGAAAGTGAAACCTATAAAAGCACACCCATGGACTTCATATCAATACCTTACCATAAAATTCTAAAAATAGAAATATAATCCATATCGGATCAACTGTGTCTCAAGGAAATGAATTAGACATCTCTCATAATTATGTAATTATGTTGGCTCTATACTTTTGAAACCAACCAACCATTGTATGCTAGATTGCTAGTAGGTTCATCATTGTTCCTCTTCTACTACACCAAAATTGTAGGTTGTTAGCTACTATACACTTGTAGTTGTAGATTAAAGTTTATAATCCAAGGTCTAATTGTCTACGATATGACCAAACCAAGTTAAGACTTCATGCCTGAATTCATACGGGTCATGTTTGGTTGTTTGCATAAGGGCATAATCCAGGCCTTCTATAATGCAGCCTACCTGTGTCAGGTTGGATGAACTAGGGCATTAGGCCTAATGCAGCAATGCACAATGTAAAAAGGTTCTGAAAGCTGCATTAGTTAGCATCTAAAATTGGGCATACTAGGGAGCACAAGCCAGTGGGCCTCGACATTTGCCCCTCACCTCCCATCCCCTGCGTCACCACCCAAGGCGACACCTGGTTCCAGTGACACGCAGCATAGCGGTGTTGGCCTTCACGAGGGCTGAACGAAAAGCTGGCAGCTCATTAGCATGCTCGGCTCATGGTTGACCTCACCATCCTCCTGGTGTGCCCGCCTTTTCTTCTGGCCCCACCGCACCTCACCAAACAGCTTCACCGTGCTGTCGTCACTGTCTCTTCGGCTGTGGTGGCTGGGAGTCCTGGTCCAGCTCCATCAGCATGCAGGACAGGGCACTGGTGCTGAGCAGCTGTCAGTTGTCCTCTGACAACAACGCCGAAACTACCTCGCTGCCACCACCTCTGGTTGATCCTAGCAAGGAGGCACTTGGCACCTTTCCTAAAGAACTCATTGGCTGCTGAAGAGAGGAATCCAAGAAAGATCGGAGGAGCTAGTATCCTTACTCTAACAGATCAATTCAAACTATTTTAAGTACAAACAATAAGTCCTCCGCTGAGAGAGTCTAACTAGTGTACACCTAGAAAATTACACCCAGATTTCAACGTCATTAAAATATGACCCCTGCTCAGATGCTTCGACTCGATCCGATGGCTATGTTATTTGGATCTGCAGGCTTCAACGCACCCGCACCACCTGCGCTTCAACGCACGCCCTCCGCGGCCACCGCAACCAAGGATAGAATCCCCCTGACCATAGCCTTTTTTCTTAAAAAAAATGAATCATCAACACTCCTTGGGGGAGAGAGCACGCATGCGCCCAGGATGCGCCCCACCACCGCCCGCGAGTCCAGGCGTGAGGCAAGCAGGCAGGATCCGTGCGCGCCTGCCGGGATCTCACGCGCCGCCAACTCTGTGATGATGGTTGAGACGAGGCGGACCGCCGCGGCGAAGCGACCGGCGGCGGGGGACGAGGAGGAAAAGGGCGCGCCGGCGCCTGCGGAGAACGCGGCGGGGGGTCCGGGAGCGGGTGATGATGTCGCGTCGTAGCAGCCTCCGAAGCGCGCCAAGGTTCTGATCTCCCTCCATCCCCGTGCATGTGGCTCCTTCAGGTCTGTGGTTTTGATCTGATTTTTGTTGTTATTACGGTCTCGCTGGTGGTAAGGTTGGGTGCGCGGAGGCGGATACCGCAAAGCCGTCGGTGGCGGCAGTGGCAACCAGCGCCGTTGCGGATCCACTGCCCAACACGAGTGGGCTGCAGGCGGTGACGGGTGCCATGGACAAGCTGGAGGCCCTCTTGAGGTCCAAGGAGGTTTAGTCAAATTGGGTTGATTTTTCACCAGTGCCTTCAATTGGGTTGATTTTTCACCGGTGCCTTTCTCGGTGGAGCAAAGGGAGTCCAGTGAAGAACCCGTTGTATCAAAAACCTCTGTGGCCCAAGGTCAGTATCCATGATTTGAAACGAAGATCTTTTGTGAGAAATACATGTCGGCGTGGATTGCCTGTTGTATTTGGCATATTCAGGTGATGGTGATGGAGTCGTGCCTCAGTAAAGAGGTGTGGAGAACTTCGAGAAGCTGGTTGAAGAAAATTTCTACTTAGGGGGTGTTTGGCATGGCTCCAACTCTGGGTGGAGCTGCTCCACTCCAGAACTCCAGGTGGAGCCAGCTCTGGGTGGAGTTGGAATTGTCTGATGGAGGTGTTTGGCTGGGAGGGTACCTTCAACTCCAAAAAAGACAACTTTTAGGATGAATTGCCATTGTTACCCCCAACTCACGTCCCCACATGTCAGCCTCTCCAAGTGAGGTAAGCGGAGCGGCCAGATTAGTCCAACAGTGCTAATTTCTTTCCAAGTGAATATGAAACTTCAGCTGGCTTGCTTGTTTAGCTTTCCCCTTCTATTTTGCTCCTCTTTTCCTAACCAGAACTTGTTATTACTTTCTCCAAACAGCTAGGTGAACAAGGACGAGTACCTGTACTTCTGTTCAAACTTTTTTAGTTGATGAGTTTGCTTTTGAAGGCGTATGCCTCCAAGTGTTACATTTGTGTTGCTATCATGGCGAAAGGGCCAGCAATGAGACCACTCATATGGATGTAACCTATTTATCATGGACCTAATGACCCATCTTACATCATATAATGCCCATTAAAATTGAGTAGGAATATATTCATTTATTTTTCTTGGCTTGACCCTGCTACTTTTACTTTTAAACTCAGGCACTGAAATCAGCATGGCGGGGTGGGGATACGATGCCTTTTATTATTGACACGGAACTATATTTTAATGCAGTTCTTAAAGCTGTAACCGCTGTAGGGTAGAATGGTATATGCATCTAATTTTTCTTATATAAATAACCGTCTTGGGTTTCTCATGATTATGTTAATTCAGTTTGAAATTGATTTCTCAGGATAACAAAAAGAATGAGATTGAGAAGGGTGACACTTTCTACAATATCTTGTGGAATTGATGAAAATATAAGGTTACTTCCCAAGTTTCCACTATGTCAAATTGAGATGAGCGTGCCCTGTACCCATTGATCCACGTTTTTAAGTTCATTGTATTACTGCTCTGTAGGCCATCTATAAAAACATAGAGCTTTCTAACTGCCATATTGTTCATTCAGAAATTGATTTTAGAAGGTAAGTATTTTTCTCTCACAGGCTTTGCAGAGAACATCACTACGGAGCAAGGGAAGACACTGAAAGATGCTTAGGGCGACGTGTTCCATGGTCTAGGTTAGTTCCCAGGTTATTGAAAGCACGCACTTGGTGTGAAGTGAAATCAGTAAAGATAAATAAGTTAACATTTCAAGGTGTGAAGTTATGTGGTCTTTGCAAGGTAAAATATAGGCTATGGTACAATGGCGGTCAGTCTCATAGTTGTGCAATTAATTATGCAATGTCTTGGTCAAAGGGAAGATCGTAACCGATCGAAAGTTCAATGTCTCTACAATCTTGTTGTACAATCTGATATCCTATTGAATTATTACTCTGTATGTTATCCTACTAATTATCCTTCTTTTCTTTTTATTCTTTGGAATGCAGAATTAACGATAAAAGGCTAGGGTCTCAGGGTGTGACTTCAAATACATTCTTTACCGTGTGGTTAGATCATATAATGATTTATGTGATAGACTTTATTTACTGTGTTGTCAGTCATACACTGATTTATGTGATAGACTGATAATGAAGTAAGTTGATAGTACAATAGTTAGTCGGCTTAGTTCTGCTCTTATGAAGTAATCTTCATAAAATGTCATATAACTCATGGCCATTTTATTTTTTAGAGAGACAGAAACCAAATAAATTGAGTACTATGAAGTGCACTGTTAACTTCATCAACCCAGTATGGATAGGAAAAAATCTTTGTGCTCGCCTGCCTACAATTAAGAAAGACTACCATTGAAACTCGTGTATATACGTCATGTCAGAAATCCAGCTTCATTATCAACATATTTACATAAACCATATATATATATCATCGTTTGATTGTTTTCAAATGAAGCCGTAGCGCTAGCACGGGCACTATACTAGTACTGATTTAGGGAAGGAGCAGTTGAGATGGAGAAGCCAAGGTGTGGTCTGCTGTGGATTGCATTTGATGTTAGTTCTTGGCTTGAATGGGGCAGAGCGTAGCCTGCTGCCGATTGAGGAAAGGAAGAACAGACGAAGGACAAGGTGGCCGGAAGATGGAGGTGATAGATATTAATCTCACCATAAGAATGAGGTGACCACAAGCAATACAAGTCTGGCAACCAACACAATCTTTACAAATGCAACATGCTTACACAAGACAACCAAACACCTCCTCACTTGTCAAAAATAAAACCAAACACCTCCTCATCAAATAGCCACCAATCACACCCATATGTGCCTTTTGCTTTTCTATGCATGTGGCACTAATGCAAAAAGAGAATGTAAGGTATCAAGCCTTGCCACATATTCCACATACTATTTCAGTTAACAATCAACTGGAAAATTTAGCAAATACCACTTTTTACATTGAACATACTGAAGGCAAGGGTTAGCTAAAAAATTACTACACCCACATATAAAGCTAGACAATAGTACAAAGAGTACAATTAGAAGTTTTCTTCAAAAAAAAAAAAAAAAGTACAATTAGAAGTTTTCTTCAAAAAAATAGTACAATTAGAATGAAGGTAAAGTGGTAGTAAAATGTCACCTGGCAGTGCAGATCAATAACATGTATTTTTGACAGAGGAAGCCGAAATGGATGTATAGAACCAAAGCCTTGAACCAAATCATCAAAACAGAAAACAGGGAACTCTCTTGGTAAGCACTGCCTGAAGTAAGCGATCAGCCTGAGGTCACGAATAATACGTGCCTCTTTCTTTGCTAACAGACTGCATTACGGAAACATCCATTAGCAAAAGGTAATAACAGTCAAAGTACACACGAATTTCATTTATGAAATACTCACTGACGAGGAGAGTTCTGTGCTGCAGGAATTTCAACTAAATTCACTGATGAATCTCCTTCGCCTTCATTCATCCAAAACATTCCCTCTGGTAAATTTTTACGCTCTACTGTTGTGGATACCCGAATTACATGAGATGGGGACACATATTTCAACATCTCTGTTAGAACCTGAAGCCCAGTACCTAAATGTTGCACAGACACGATCGATGAGTTCAGAAAAACAAACCAGAGATTCAACAAAGCAGAGGATTATCAAAAGGACCATTGCACACTTGTACTATCAAAAGGAAGGAGCAATCAAATCTTACCTTTTACCCATCCTGAAGTATTAATAACAAGTGGTATAGCTGATTTCTTGGGGTTTTCAACCTCACCAAGGCAATAGAACTCTTGAAGGAAATAATCATGAAGGCCAAATATGTAAGTCAAGAGAAGTTTCGGGTTCCTTTTTGCACAAATATCGCCAAAAAAGTAGCACCTAGAATATTTGTAACAGGGCTCAGATAGGTTCCAGATTCCAGATGATCACTGATTTACTAGCTACATGATAGAAAAAAGAATATTGTAGGCACAAAAAAATATATGAAATAAATTAGAATGGTTAAAATCTTATCCCCCTCCCCCTTCTTAATCCTTGAATAGAAAGGAAATCTGCACTTTGCAACCCTAAGGAACTGAACAAGCACATCTTCACTATGCAAAATTTGCAACAATCAGGACCTCCTAAAAGTTAGGATCCATAATATTTTCAGAAGTACTACCTCTGGGAACAAAAACATGTCGTTTAGGACAGGATTTGGTCAAACTTTAAAAACTTCAAACATTAATAACTTTTTTTTCTCGAACCACGCAGGAGGACTGCACGCCATTTCATTAAGGTAGAAAAACTAAGTACACGGGTCTGGGAGACCCAACCCGAGCACCGGGACACACGCACACACACTACGGAGACCAGTACATCAATGTGCCACAAACTAACTAAAAGACGACCAACAACTCCCAGGACTTAAACTCCAGAGGCGAGCAACCTGGATAGAAGCTGTGTGAGCTTCGAGGCCCCGGCCATACACCAAATACCGCCCTCCGTGCACACAGCACTGATAACCTCCTGAGCACTCGGCCTTAAGTTCTGGAAGACACAATCATTACAATGCTTCCAGACCTCCCAAGCTACCAAGATTATCAAAGTGTTCAAACCCAAATATTAATAACTTTTAAACTACTTAGCTTTGAAACATACAAACATACAACTGATGCGTGTAGATTTGTCTAATAACTTGTAAAATCTCATGGATTTGAAGGATCCTTAGAAACATTCTGGAAGGGGAGCAACTAGACAGAGCACTTTCATTTTAACCTACAATGAGAACCATCCAGGTTCATTCTCTGCAAGCAAGCTCTTCCATCCGTCCCTGCAAGCCGCATCTTCCACCATCCCCTGCGAGTGCTTCCTCATTGACTGCTGCCCTCACCCCCAGACCTGCCTCCAAGCAGCCTGTTAGAGTATTTATTTCCTAACTGTATCCTCTATCAATTACTCTGTAGCGGCTGCCTCTTGGGTTTCTACCCAGTGTGCTGCCTAGGGACTCCCGGCATGTTGCCTGGGACTTCTCCCCTCTTAACTCTCTAGCTTAGCCTCTCTCTATATATATGTAACCCTCTTGTAATCTCAACATCAAGTAATCTAAGCCTCTTGGCCTTTCTCTATCATGGTATCAGACTAACGATTCCTCTGCTTCCTCTGCTTCCGCTCCTTTCGGTGCCCGCCTCGAGCCGCGCCCGCCCCTTCACCTCTCGCGCGCGCGCGCCTCGGGTCGCGCCCGCCCCACACGCCCTTCCCTGCCGCCGCAGCCCGCGACCTTTCCCTGCCGCCGGCGTGCCCGAAGCTGCCCAGCAGCGCGCCCATGGCCACTTCGACCTCCGGCGCCTCCACCGCGGCTACCGCGATCAAGCTTCGTGATGAAGCTCTCGCCGCCGCCCAGAAGCTGGAGGAGGAGGCCGCCTCCCTGCACTTCACCAACACCGACCGCAGCCAGCAGCTTCAGACGGAGGCTAACCTCCTCAAATCCGCTGCTGCCGCTCAGGATCGCGTTCGTGCCACCGCTGACGCCCTCGAGAAGGAGCGCGCGTAGGCTGACGCCCTGGAACAGCAGGCCGCTGCCCTCCGGGACCGTCTCCGCACGGACTCCCTCCACGACGACGGCTCTCAGGACGGCGGCGATCACTCCTTCTCCTCCGACGCCACGACCATCGCTCACCTGCACAGCCAGGCTGCCGCTGTCCAGAACATCAAGAACTTGATTCCGATCGTTCTGGACCTCCAGTCCTCCAACTACTCCAGGTGGCGCGGCTACGTCCTCCTCATCCTCGGCCGCTTCGCGTTGAACGATCACGTCCTCAGTGACGCCTCCCGCTTCACCGATCCTGCGTGGTCCCGCATGGACTGCGTGGTCGTCTCTTGGATCTTCAACACCATCTCCACCGATCTTCTGGACGTCATCCACGAGCGTGACGGCATCTCCGCTCGGGCTGCGTGGCTCGGCATTGAACAACAGTTCCTGAACAATCGCGAGTCACGCACCATGCTCCTCGACGCTGAGTTCCGCACTCTCTCCCAGGGCGCCCTCTCCATCGACGACTACTGCCGCAAGATGAAGGGCATGGCTGATGCCCTTGCCGATCTTGGCGAGCCCGTCCATGACCGTACTCTGGTGCTGAACATACCGAGAGGCCTCAATGAGCGCTTCCAGTTCGTGTCGCAGTTCATCACGCGCCAGAAGCCGTTTCCCTCCTTTGCGGATGTCCGCGCCGACCTGCGCCTGGCCGAGCTCAACATGGCACCTCCATCGGCTCTCGTCGTCTCTTCGTCCAGCAAGCCACCTGCCTCCCAGCCGGCCTCTGGGTCTGCAACCCCGCGTCCTCAATAGAACGCCGGGGGGGGCTTCTCGGGTAATGGCCGTGGCCGACGTCGTCGTGGCGGCCGTGGCCAAGGTGGCTCGAACAGTGGCTCACCAGGTGGTTCCCAGTGGCCCTCCCTCCTCAACCCATGGACCGGGTCGATTCACATGTGGCCCGGGTCTACTCCTGGTGGCCCTCGCGGTCCACCTCTCCGCACCGGCCCACCTCCATCGCAGCAGCTGTAGCAGCATGCTTTGGTGGCCGGCGTGCCTCCAACCTACTACCCTTGGTTCCTGGGACATACCAACAGGTGCCCACCCAGGCGCCTCATCCTGCCTGGACGCCAGCACCACCTCCGACGCCTCCTGCTTGGTCACCATGGGATCCTCAATCCCTCGCCAACGCCTTCAGCACCGTCACCCTCACCCCGCCACCGACCTCCTCGGACTGGGTGATCGACTCGGGTGCTTCGTCTCACATTGCCTCCAACCCTGGTATGGTTACTGTATCTCCATCCTGCTCTTTTTCTTCCTCCATTGTTGTGAGAAATGGCGCCACTCTACCGGTTATTGGCACCGGATACTCCACTCTTCCTGGCCCTTTCCGTCTCAACAATGTCCTTATAGCTCCTGACATCATTAAAAATCTTCTTTCTGTTCGTCAGTTCACTACTGATAACTGTCTCTGTGGAGTTTGACCCTCTTGGTGTCTCTGTGAAGGATCTCCGTACCAGGGACACCCTCCTTCGATGTAACAGCTCAGGGCCGCTCTACACCTTGCAGCTCCTGTCGTCGCCTTCTGACCCTTGTGCTCTTGTGGCCACTCCTTCTCCAACTACATGGCATCGTCGTCTTGGCCACCCCGGCAGGGCTGCCCTTCAGAGTCTCGCCCAGTCATCTTCCATTTTCTGCAGCAAGTCTACAGATGACTCCATCTGCCATGCATGTCAGCTTGGGCGCCATGTTCGCTTGCCTTTTACTAGTTCCTTGTCTAGAGCACCTAAAAATTTCGATCTGATACATTGTGACCTGTGGACATCCCCTATTGTCAGTGTATCTGGATTTAAATATTATCTCGTTATTCTCGATGATTGCTCTCATTTTCTTTGGACTTTTCCTCTTCGATTAAAGTCCGACACTTTCTCTGTCCTCTCCAATTTCTTCGCCTTTGTGCACACTCAGTTTGGTTGTACCATCAAATCCGTGCAATGTGACAACGGTCGTGAGTTTGACAACTCTGCGTCTCGTGCTTTCTTTCTTGCCAAAGGTGTTTCTCTTCACATGTCATGCCCCTACACCTCGCAGCAAAATGGCAAAGCCGAATGCATGCTTCGCTCCATCAACAATGTCACCCGCACCCTGCTCTTCCAAGCATCCATGCCCCCTCCTACTGGGCCGATGCACTTGCTACTGCCACCTACCTCATAAATCGCCTCCCCACCAAAACGCTGAACATGAGCACTCCATTCTTCGCACTCTATGGCACTCACCCTTCCTATCATGACCTTCGAGCCTTCGGGTGCACCTACTTTCCTAATCTCACCGCTACCACTCCTCACAATCTTGCCCCGTGCTCTTCTTTATGTGTTTTCATTGGTTACTCTCCTGATCACAAGGGATACAGGTGCCTCGACCTCGCCACAAACCGTGTCATCATCTTAGGCCACGTTGTTTTCGACGAAACAACGTTCCCTTTCTCACTTCGCCGGCCTTCACCGCCTACACACGAACTGGATTTTCTAACTGATGACGACCCTCCGTCAGTTCCTTTTCTCCCTGCAGGAACACCTGGGGTCGCTGCCACCCTGCCAGCGCCTGCACCTCTGCGGCCCCCCTCCCAGCCAGTGCCTTCAGCCACCCCGGCGCCGGGACCAGGCATGCCAGCGTCCCGGTCTCCTCCACCCGGCTTCACCGCGCCCATGGCGCCCCCTGAACAGGCGCCCACGGCCCCCCCTGTGCAGGCGCCCCCGGCTAACTCCTTCAGTAAGCCGCCCGGCGTCCACGTCTACACCCGGCGTGCCCCCGCACCCAGCTCGCCACCAACGTCCCCCGCTGGGGCTCCTCCTCGACGCTCCGGCATGATTCCCTCTCCACCACGCTACGTCAAGAGTGATCCTCCACTGCCCATAGGAGCGGTCTCCATCCCGCCACTCGCCAACTCTCATGGTATGGCAACCCGCGGGAAGTCCGGATACAAGCAGCCTCGCCTTGCTCTACACACCGAGGCTCTGTCCCCACTGCCGCGGTCCTGTCGAGATGCACTTGCTACTCCGCACTTGCGTCGGGCCATGGAAGAAGAATTCGCTGCTCTCTTGGACAACCACACTTGGGATCTCGTTCCTCGGCCTGCCAAGGCAAATGTGGTCACTGGAAAATGGATATTCAAACACAAGTTTTATGTTGATGGCTCCTTGGACAGATACAAGGCTCGTTGGGTGCTCCGTGGGTTCACACAGCGCTCCGGAGTTGATTACGATGAGACTTTCAGTCCCGTCGTGAAGCCCGCTACCGTTCGCACCGTCCTCACTCTGGCTCACTCTCGGGACTGGCCGATCCATCAATTTGATGTGAAGAACGCTTTCCTTCACGGGACATTGTCAGAAACGGTGTACTACTCTCAGCCCACTGGTTTTGCCGATTCGGATCTTCCCGAACACGTCTGCAGGCTCAACAAGTCCCTCTATGGTTTGAAGCAGGCACCGCGAGCATGGTACAGCCGGTTTGCTTCTTATCTGCTATCTCTGGGTTTCACTGAAGCCAAGTCCGACACCTCCCTTTTCATCCATCACCGCGGCACCGAGACAGTCTACTTGCTCCTATATGTGGATGATATTGTTGTTACAGCCTCCTCTCAGCCACTCTTATACCGGGTGATTGATGCACTGAAGAAGGAATTTGCCATGAAGAATCTTGGTTCCCTACACCATTTTCTTGGCGTGGCAGTTCAGCGACAGAAGGACACTCTATTTCTCTCACAGCGTCAGTACACTCTGGACATTCTTGCTCGCCACGGCATGACCGACTGCAAGCCTTGTTCCACTCCTGTTGACACTTGTACCAAAGTCTCTGCTGATGCCGGCCCCTCTGTTGCTGATCCTACAGCATATCGCAGCCTTGTGGGTGCTCTCCAGTACCTAACTTTCACTCGGCCCGACATCGCATACGCCGTTCAACAAGTCTGCTTTGCACATGCATGATCCCCGGAAGTTCATCTTGTTGCTACCAAGAGGATTCTTCGCTACCTTCAGGGCACTATCAGTTTTGGTCTTGTCATTCCCGTTCCGCTAACTCAGCTCATCGTCTACACCGACGCTGAACTGGGCTGGCTGCCCTGACACCCGCCGTTCCACCTCTGGCTATGTTGTCTTCCTCGGTGGCAGCCTCATCTCCTGGTCGTCCAAGCGCTAGCCCACCGTTTCATGGTCGGCGCCGAGGCCGAATATGCGTCTTGATTATAGCAACGCGTCGCTGAAGCCTCTCTGGCATGCGGCAACTTCTGCAGAGAGCTACACCACCCTCTGGATTCTGCGCTGCCTCGTCTACTGCGACAACGTCAGCGCCGTCTACCTCTCCACCAACCCGTTCTCAAAGATCACCGTACCAAGCACGTGGAAATCGACCTTCACTTCGTCCCGGGAACGGGTCGCCATTGGGGCTGTCCGTGTGCTTCACGCTTCCCACCACGTCGCAGTTCGCCGATGTCTTCACGAAGGGGCCTTCCTTCTTCATTGTTTTTTATGGATTTTCGCTCCAGTCAAGCGTTCGTTTCTAATAACGTTCCGATGCGGAGAAAGTTAGAGTATTTATTTCCTAACTGTATCCTCTATCAATTACTCAGAAGCGGCTGCCTCTTGGGTTTCTACCCGAAGGTCTTGCCTTAGGGACTCCGGCATGTTGCACGGACTTCTCCCCTCTTAACTCTCTAACTTAGCTTCTCTCTATATATATGTAACCCTCTTGTAATCTCAACATCAAGTAATCTAAGCCTCTTGGCCTTTCTCTATCATAGCCTCTGGTTCCTCCCTGGCACCATCGCCATCCACCCGACCATCACCTTCTCTCGCAGCCTACGGCCAGTGGCCAGGCACCACCAGCTCACTGTGCCGTCCACAAACTCCGCTACCGCCCCTAGACCCCACCCTCCTCGAACCACTCCGGCAAGATCACCCCGCCTCGACACCGCACAAACTGCCTGCCGACACCCCCGTGTCTGGCAGTGCAGTGCCACCTTAGCATGCTGCCTACCGCCAAGCTGACCTGCCGGTTGGAGGGAGAGAAGCTCAACCAGATCCAAAAACCCCCATCCCTAAAGGTCAGCCATGGATGGCAGTTTGGGGCAGCTCATGAGCTCGAGGAAGAGGGCCAAGGTGGAAGACGAAACTGCCACACGGAATTCATCCTGTGTGTCAAATCTTGATCACACGGTATCCAGGGGGTTCTCATGATAGTCTTCAAACGAGAGGTCTCTCATTTTAAATTTCAGGTTCCAGAAGATATAGGTGGTCAAAGAGACGAATTGAAGACAGTGCAAAGTCAAATGTGAGAAATATTTTTGACTGGAGGTGGTAGAACATGAATGTTTGAACCATAGGACAGTGAAGAAGTAATTTTACAAATGAATCCAGAAAATAATTTCACAAAACCATTAATTTAGTCGTCACATGTTAGACTCCATATTCATCATTTAACTATAGATATTTCCCAGCAGTACAACATTAAGAAGTCATAACGATCATGCTACGTCACCTTACCTATTTGGATTGCACAGGTATAAAATTGTCAAATCTGCAATCATAACAGAAGTGACAAAATATCTAATCAATCACAACAAAAGGAGCACACAATTTATACAAGGATATTTTTGAGAGAGAAAAATCTAAATACTACACCTTTAGGCTTTTCCTCAAAAACATGAAGTGACACAAACCCTGGAGGGGTGAACTCAGGCTGACCAACATCAATATCCAGGTATCCGACCTTCTTGTACCTGAGCATATGAAGTAATCACAACAATGTACCTGAGCTTATGAACTAATCACAAGTGAAGTAAGAAACTAAGTAACAAATTGATTAAAGAGCATCTCAAGTTCTTGAGTGAGAAAAACTAGTTTAACTTTGAAACAATGAACAATGAAAGCAGTTTAACACCTTATTAATAAATCCACTCCTAGACTAAGCAGACTGCAGAAAAACATGATATATCTTTTCACTCCTTTGGAACTATAAATAGACCCAACTTGTTCAGACCACAGTAAACACTTCACCCACACCAACCTAAACAAATATTATGAAAAAAGAGCACGAGCTCAAATGAAAGTTAACACACTTCTCAGAAAGCAACAAATAACCTCAACTTAGAACCCTTCGATAATCATGAGATATCACATTTTCAGCGTAAGCGCAACTAAAAAATTATAGTGACATGAGTACTTCGCAACAAGTGTAGTAGATCAGGATTTCAATCAACACTAGCATATATGAGTATATGATCATCCTAACTCTGTTGTTTCCATAGTAAAATTTCTGCTGTGTTTCTGTTGTACAACTCAAATTTCTTTCCAAGATTATATCATAAATAAATATTACCTAATCTGTATTTGGAACATGTAGAATTAACCTCAGAATAAGTAAAGAAGTACAGAACATATCTAAGGAACTTTACATAAAAGATAATGTTCATTATTCATTGTTGATGGCGTAAGACTTAATTCGAATCAATGTGATGCTTTCTTCATCTTATAATATATGCCAACTATGGGCCTGATAACACTTCATTCAACTAAAATAACATTTTCTATAATTTGTTTTGCTTCAAGAAAATATGGTTCAAACAAATGGCAGTAGATATCTAAGTATGAATACAACTTTGTCAGATTATTTTTAACTAACAAAAATGTGTAAATATCAAGGATTAAAATTGCAAGATATGCATGTAAATACATGATATATAGTGATTAAATAAATAAGCAAAAATAAAAAGGGAAACTGATTCAACAAAAAGTAGTGCTTCTAGTTTCTTTAAAAGAACATTTCTGGAACTCATTTGATTTTGCCGAATTTTCCTATATCTAAATATAGGATAAAAGGAATGACTACTACAACATTACTGAATATAAGTTGAATTAACTCAGCAACGGAACTAAGTTGTGATAAATACGTAAAGTATGAAATATAATTTGACCTAAAATATTGTAGCAGATAGTACAACTGTAATTTCAAAGCAGAGGCCACATACCGATCTCACTACATTGGTACTAATTAGTGAAGCTTTGACATGAGAACATGTAAATAAAACAGTCTCATTCTTAATCCATTTGCTTGCTAATAATCCAACGGCATATGGACTGATTTTTCACTCAAGCAGATAAAATTTGCACCCGAGAAAATATTAGTGTTAATAAAAAATGAAGATAAGGGGTCCAGCTATATTTCTCATAGCTGAGACTTATAAGAGATGTATTTGGGCATTTTGATACATACTGGAGTAAGCGCAATGAAACAAATAGCAGTAGATATCTAAATATGAAGACAATTTTTTTAGATTATTTTTAACTAACAAAACAGCAAGGCCATTTGGTTCCATTGCGCTTGTACCTAGTATAGCAGCAAGTGGGACCATTGCTTCGGGCTTGGGGCAAAAGAAGCTATACTATTCAGAACCTTGGTCCTAAAGCTATCTCCAAATCCATTCTCTTGTGTCTACCAATCTACCTTCATTAATACCTAAGAAGATTGATACATTACATCACTGAGTCGATATGACCAACATCACCTCTGCAACAATATCGTGAATACCAAATAGCACCTATGATTCATAAATTATGATAGGTTTCTAATGGCGCTAAGTTATAGATGATAGATGTTACAAGTACCTACCAAAACACCATTTAGTTAGAGATCCACAAAAAAATAATTCTACTATCTATGTATTCAGGTGCAGGTACAACTGGAAAAACAATCATAACAAATATTATTTTTTAGTTTTCCTTTTAGTCCCTCCTTTTGGTCGAAACAATCGGAGTAATAATCTTATTTGCCCCTTGGGAACTGGGCTATATGCTGTTGATATCAATTCCAACTGTTCTTCTTCATGAGGTTCTCCTAGTGCACCCAATTCTTCATCAAACAGGAATTTAATCAGGCTGTCTTCTCGACGGACACAAATCCCACCAAACCATCCTTCAATACCAACCCATGCAACTGCACCCTGATAAGCAAACCCAGTGGCACGCTAACTGCGCTAACAACTGCTGTGGTTAGTAACTCATTTTTCTCCAATGGGCACTTCTGAAGCATCAGCCGGAAGAGTTCAAAGGCCTCCTCAGAACACTTTCCTGTGGCATACCCTGACACCATGGCAGCCCAGGACACTGCATTCCGATGTTGCATTTCATCAGACACCCTCTGGGCATCAGAAGCGATCACTCATAGCAGAGTCTTGGTTGAACGAGGCAGACAACATCCACCCGATTGCCGCTTGCGAACAACAAAACCAACTCTAGCTGTCGAGATGGGGAGAAGGGGGGGCGTGGGCTTGGCTTGCTTACCTTTCGATGAGAGTGTTGAGCAGAAGACGGGAGAAGGCGGACTTGCCGCTGTTCCCCGGGCCGCACACCGCGACGACGGGCGGCGGCCAGGTGCACGAGTCGTACGCCACCGCCTCAGCGGCCTCCTCCCACTCCCGCTCCCTCTGCGCCGCTTCCTCCTCCAGCTTCTGTCCGGCGCTGCATCCCGTCTCCATCTCACCCTCCCCTCCTCCACCCGCACACGAGACAGTCGCCGAGGAACCGAGCAAGGAGACCTTAAAAAGCCAATGATCATGCGGGTTGCGACGGGGCGGTGTCGACTTTTTGGTCGGCGGTACGGCGAGGTCCGCGTGTAGGGTACAACGGCAGGGCCCACGAGTCAGTGACTGGAGATGTGGTTACTGTGCTTCTGTGCCACGAAGGACGGTGGGTGCCGGATGAAATGTTTCGGATTTGGAGATCTCATCACTATTAATCATCGGCCGTGATTGGCCGTAAATGCAGACTGTGGTGTGTGCTCTTGAGTTTTCTTTTTCTTTTTCTTTTTTTTTTCTTTGATGGAAGCGATGGGGCGCCCTTTATTGTCAAACATAGTTATATCATTTACTAGCCCAAGTACAAGAATCTTTAAAAGATAAAGCTACTCTGGCTAATTGGTGCGCCACCTTGTTTGCTTCCCGGTCGCATTGCTCAATTGAGATTGCATCGAAATTCTGCCATGGGAGAAAGCAGTCATAAAAAATCGGAGCACCTGCTGCTGCCGAGTACCCCATCCTTATAGCTTCAACAACTTCTAAGCAATCTGACTGTAAAGTGAAACCATTGTAGCCAATATGTTGAGCTAGCAGCAATCCGTCTCTGAGTGCCATCACCTCTGCTGTTGGGGCATCCACTGTGTGCTCCAAGTATGTGTATGATCCTGCTATGAACGATCCATTTGAATCTCTAATAACCACGCCTGTTCCACCACTTCCATTTTCCTCTCTGAAACTCCCATCGACATTTATCAATAATTTTCCGTCCTTCTCGCTGCCTGACGGTCTTTTGCATTGCTCTTTGGTAATTCGTTGCCAGGCTAGCGATTGACATGGCTGACCTTGTTGGCAGGTTGATACTTTCATCGTAGACAAATTTTCTCCTCTCCCACCAAATATACGAACCACCTGTTAAAATGAGTTCCGCAAGCCCCACACCATTCAACTTCTCAAGTGGTCTGGATATGTTGATCAGATCAGCCACCAGAACTGATCCTGATCTATCAGTATCCAAGACTCTGAATTTTATTCCATACACCTAGACGCTGCCAAATCAAGTATGCTCGATTACATGTAAATAGTAGATGTTTGATATCATCGCAACCTGAGTTTATTAAGTAAATCATATGTCCTTAAATTATGTACATAATTTTAAAGTTTAAGCTTCCTTATCTTTGGTCAACAATTAGCCTAGTTAAATGAAAATTCTTGTGCTATAAAAATGATTGCATTAGATTTTTATTTAGAAATCCTTTCTAGTAATGATCACATTTTTATAATACTATAAAATGACATTATAAGAGGACTTCACAATCAAAGAGTGCCGCGTCAAGCCAAATTGTCTTTTTACTCCCTCCATATTTGTGTTAGCCATACAGGGTTTAATGAAGAAGATATAGTGGCCTACACTCACAAGTCACCACTTCAATAGCATGAAGCCATGAACAGTATAGCTTTTAAAGAGACCGTAACTCCTAAGAGAGCGAATTAATTAGACTTTTCAAAAACTTATACTCTAAATTTATCCTCTAATTTCACTTATCAAAACCTACGCAAAAATGTAACATATGATTCGACTACTCTACCCACACTTAGTTAAACAGCTTACACCTAAACCACATAACCATAAAAAGAATTCAAGTAAATAGAGAAGATAATAACTATATTAATACTCAAGTCTTATAAAAGAAGGATACAAAAGTATACCAGACCTTCGAGGGCTTCTCCGGAACCTGAGCATAGCTCATCTTACCCTAGCTCCCAACTAATCTATTATACTTCTACATATTGATAATCACATATTTTGATATTCAAATTTTCGAAGTTTCCATACAATCTGATAGAGACATACCTGTACGAAAGTTATAGTGCTTGACAAGATCTAAGCTTTTGTAGTTCGAACTTTTCTTCATTTAGAATTATTTAGCTGCCAAAATATATTTAACATAAGATTACAAAATGTTAATACAAAAGGATAGCATCTCATATTTATGCATTGAAGAGGCAGGGACGTGTTGCATAAAGATCGTATTTTCAAATCCTATAAAATACATGCCTTTTGATTTTCTACAAATTATTAATAGAGGTGGATATTTTAATGATTTTTTTAAAACAGTACTACCTGGGCACGGCCTTCAGAGGCAGGTGTCGTGCGGGGCTTCAAATCCCTGCTGGCTGCTTCCCCGGCCCACATGAAAGCTAGCCACCGGGCCACTGGCCTGTTTGCGTATCATAATGACTTAGGGCTCGTTCGGTTAGAGGATTTCTGTCCGGAAATAGTTTCAGCCAATCAAACAAGAGATTTTTTACGGTGCTTGGGAGAACCATTGGTTCCTTCCCGTGGAATTTTTTAGCCCAAATTAAGGTAATTAAGGGTAGCTTAGTCATTTTAATGGATATTTACTTTGACCGACATCTTCTTTCTTTTCCCTCTACGCACGAACTGAACGCCGCACGGATCTGCGGAAAGCCGGGAAGGGCCTCGCTGCTGCCTCCCGCCTGCTGGGTGCTCGCCGGCGCCGACCGCCTAATACGTGAATCACCGCCGACTGCATGTAGAAGATCGGCACCGACCGTCTGTTTGGCCCAACGCCTGCATGGGATCACTGCCGGCCGCTTGCAGGAGCTCCACCAACCATCTCCAGGGGCATGCAGCTCACGTGCTTAGGCCGGTAGGTAGGGGCCTGGTAGCCTTCCTCGTCCCATCGCCGATTCGATGCCGCCTCCGACCTGTTGCCCACCTACGCTTCTTCGATCTCTGTACTTCATGTTTACTACGTAAAAAAACGATTTTTTTTTAGCAACGGTTTGATTTTTTTAGGGACGGCTGGTGATGGAGTCGCTCCTACAATGACGTGCTCGGGTGTCTAGACACCAGCCGCCCCTACAAATGAAACAGTAGGGGCGGCTGGCGTTTCGAGCTGCTCCTATAAATAGGGTATGATTTGTAGGGGCGGCTCAATCACCAGCCGCCCCTACAAATATCCCCATATAAAACAGAGCACCTTCTTCTTACTCGGGTCACTCACTCCAACCAGTGAAAGAAAGGTGAGGAGGCCTTGGGCACCTCCTAAAAATTGCTTTACTAAGGGGGGAAAGTTTTGGTCTCAAATTCTTTGGTGGAGAGGTTATAAAAGGTAAGAAAATGCTATTCCATACTTTTTTAAGTTTTAATGGTTGGTTAGTGAGTAATTAGAGTTGTTTTTATCTCTCTTCTATGGTGCTTGAGCTATTTATGAAGCAAATTAGACCCAACTTTTAAATGTACTAGGGTAAATTAGGGAGGGGAACAAGATCATACCCTTATTTGGTCCATGTTTCTTGATTTTAGTGAACAATTAGTTAGTTTTATGGATGTTTCATGTGCATGTGGATCTAGATTTAGGGTTTGGTTTTTTTATTAATTTCGTTTTTGTAAATTTATGATTGATGAAATTGGACTAGGGTTTATATGAAAGATATTGGATAAAGTATAATTGTTGCTAATTGTTGTCTTTAAAATTATTTATTGTAATCAGTGTTCGTCTAGTTTAAACGGCCAATAAACGGTAAACGGTGGTAAACTGTTTTGTTTAGGGGGTAAACGGAAATTAAATGGTTGACCATTTAAACGGTCAAAAAACAAGAAAAACGGTCTAAACGATCTAAATGGAACGGAGATAAACATCATTAAACGGGCTAAACAGCTGTTTAAATGGTTGTTTAGACGAACACGAGGTAAATCTAGTTCAGTTTTGTATAGATAAATTTGTATACTTAAGTTTATTATATTTATAAATGTGTACACTTGATATGTTACATGCATAAATATCTATATTTGGTTCTTTTCACATGCATAAATATATATATACATACCAAAATAATTGATTTTTACTCGGATAAATATGTATAAATGCTAGAATACTTGATTTTTTACATGCACATATATAATTATATGTATTTTTTTTAAAAAGTACAAAACCATTGACCGTTTAATTTCGTTTAAACACCATGTAAACAGCCTAAACGCTAAACGAAGGGCGACCGTGTAAAGACCGTTTACCGTTTAGGAAAACATTGATTGTGTAAGGAAAATGGAACCTTGACTCATTTACTTCGGATTTTGGTGTTTGATGACCAACACAACCAAATTGGACTAATGAATTTGCAAGTGTTTGTTTTGTAGTCCAATAGGGTGCAAGACGTGACTTGGACGAAGGCGACATGATGATCTCATGATCAACACCTCAAGCAAGACCTTAGAAGCATAAGAAAAGTCCCAAGATGTCAAGCAAAGTCCAAGCATGAAGATAGGAACCAAGCCGTGCGCAAGATCGCAAAGAAACGAGCTCGCAGAGGCGACCGGACGCTGGACCGGACGCTGGAAGCGCGACCGGACGCTGGACCGGTGGCTCGGCAGACAGGCGACCGGACGCAAGGACCGGACGCTGGCGGCAACCGACCGGACGCAGGAACGCAGCGTCCGATCGAGTATAGAGAGGTTCCAGGCGCGCGAAACTGCGACCGGACGCGTCCGGTGGCAGGCGACCGGACGCTGGCAGCGTCCGATCGGTAGTTCGCGGCTACAACGGTCGGGACGACCGGACGCGTCCGGTCAGGACGATTCAGCGTCCGGTCAGTAGCAGTTTCGTGGGAGTTCGACCCCAACGGCTACTTTCTCAGTGGGGCTTATAAATACAACCCCCAACCGGCCATTTGAGATGTGTGGAGCTGAGGAAACATACCAAAGGTGTAGATACACCATTCTAGTGATCTCCACTTGCATAGTGCTTAGTGTTTCATCAGGTGATTAGCGTAGGTGCTTTGCGAAGTGCTTAGGTTGATTAGACCACCACTTATGCGCTTGCTCTAGGTGTATGCCTAGTGTTTAGTGAGGTTTGCATACCTCTTGCCACCCCGTGCTTGCGAGCACAAGTGTTGTACAGCGAAGGGGCTTGAAGTCTTGCGAGATCACACCAACC